CCCTGGTGACGAGCGGCATGGAGCCAGCTTCCTGGCCAATCAGGAAGCTGGGCAGCATGTAATGACTCGCCGCCCAGATTCCCGATACTGAAAGTTCCGGTACCGGGATAGACATCAGGAGGCATTGGTGCATCCCATAGATGGAGGATATATGGGTTTATTCCAATTTCCTCCTCCATATACCTGTGGATGTGGTCAAGGCCAAAATGGATTCTCTCAATTCTTCCATCATGTTTGAAAATCCTGTCTTGCCACTGGGGATATCGAATTTCACAATTTGATGTCATAAATGATCTGAAATTCTGTCTTTAAAAGAGAACTATGAGGTAACCTTTTTATCCCACAGTTCTCTTTAGGGTCACAGGAGGACATATACTAATGTCGTCCTATGACCCAAAGCTCAATATATAGCGGGCTATTGCCCACTATATACTTAGAGCGCTGGAGCCAGTACAGAGGCAGAGCTAGCTGTGAACGGCCCAACCAACCCATCCATTTCCCCAGTCAGCGCTGGGGAGGGGGGAAATCCCTGCGGGGAGCGGTGACTGACAGTCACCACTCTGCAGGGAGATGATCGGGAAGTGAGCGAGCGACGGTATGTGTTTGCTCATTTCCCGATCTATAGAGTTGACGTGTGACAGTTTCAATGTCACACGTCGGCTCTCACTATGAGGATGAGTATAAATCACTCACCTCATAGTTCTCCTTTTAGGCATTTTTTTTTAGTCTCTCCATCATAGGGCATAATACATTCACACAACAAGCTGTAAACTACCCCCTGGGTTTCACAATTTGTAAAATGTTTGAAAAGTCTATCTCTGGGGAAACGCAAAACTTCCCCTTGCACGAGAGCTACCCCTGCACTGTGAGGGTTCACTGCTCGTTTATGTCTAGGGGACCTATTTAAAGAACATATACTTACCTGATCCCTGCTGGCTCCAAGACAAAATGCCTGCAGCCTCTTCCTCCTTCTCCGCTTTGGCAGTCAGACAGTCCACAAGCCAGAGCGTAGAGATGACAAGGAGAGCTCCAACCACCGGGGCAGTGAGGGTGAGGTAAGTAAAAGTTTTCTTCGTCTTACCTTTTAGACATTAAATGAGTTTTGTTTTTGTTATTCAGACATAAGCTTTAATCAATATTTAACCATTGCAGTGCAGGGTATTTTTTTTTGCAAGGGATTTTTCTTTTTTTCTTTTTTTTTACAAAACCGGACCCTCTTCTGCCAAAATAAATCTACCTCCGTTCCCCAAAATTGTTTTGATTTTCTGTGTACACTGTATGGTGCACACCGTACAAACTCTGCCCATTCAAATCATCTCTAAAACACTATGAATGAGCCTAATGCCAGGGACTGTTGTGTGCATGCACAGGAGTCTCATACACAGGATGCCTTGGAACCTGGAAGTGGTGGAGATAAAAGATCGATCCAACAGTGCTGGAGAAGAGCACACTTGTAAGGTGAGTGTGCTAACATGCTAGCAGTTTACTGCTGCTTTAATGTAATTAAAGTGTTATTGCTCTCCTGGAAGTGCCATCATTCTGGATTCCGTGATTGATATTAGCAGTTAAGCGCTAATCACTCCAGCAATAGCTATCTCCTCATAATTACATTATTTCTGTACACCGATGAACGTCATTCCTTGACAACTGTCCCCATAGTATCTTACATCGTTTCCTTACTACTTTACAGCTGATTGTACCTACAAACAAGCAATTAAAGGGCAACCTCACCTCACACCAGTGTGCTGAGTTTGGGTGGGAAGGTTGAATCCTCCACAACATGGAGCTTTCATCACAGTAAGGGTGTTTTACAGGTGATTTTGAACCTTTTTTTTTCTTTTTTGCATGTTTTTCAGGCATATTTGGGCTTGAGTGTTTGTTTTAGCCAAGGGAAAGTTGGATATTAGGACAAGAAGATGGTTGATTAGCCTTGAAAACCCACACATTTCTAGATGTTTTTGAATCATTTTCAGGTGCTTCTATTGAAGTCTATAGGGCCAAAAACCCATTCTGCTTTAAAGGAGAACTATCGGGTTAAGTCTTTTCCCCATAGTTCTCCTTAGGGTAACGGGAGGACACAAACTAGCGTCCTCCCGTCACCCTAGGCTCAGTATACCGCGAGCTGTAGCTCGCGGTATACTGAGACGCCGCAGTATACCCGAGCAGCTGCTCGCTGTATACTAAGACGCCGCAGCTGAAGCGGATCCCGACAATTGAGCCGGGATCCGCCCAGCTGCGTGACTGACAGCTGGCTCTGCCTATCTAAAGGCAGAGCCAGCTGTACCCGCCCCCGTCCATTCCGCCAGTCAGCGCTGGCGTGGAGGGGGGAATTCAGCCCCTCCATTGTCATGGCAGAGAGCCGTGACAGGATCGAGAGGTGAGCGAACGCCGGTATGTGTTCGCTCACCTCCCGATCTACTGAACCGACCTGTGACAGTCTCATTGTCACAGGTCAGCTAGAGCTATGAGGTGAGTGAAAAGCACTCACCTCATAGTTCTCCTTTAAAAGACCCAAGTTAGGGCTTGTGTATGAAGGTGTTGTCGTCATACAGGGCTTATATTAGAATGCAGCCAATATCAAACACATGCATTTGAAGGCAAACAGCTGTGATTGACCTGCTTTGCTTGCAAGGTAATCAAGTCTCAAGTAGTTACATAGTTATATAGTATTTGAGGTTGAATAAAGACATAAGTCCAACCTATTAGGATCTCATTCTAGGAGTACCCGTACCCCTGTATATTACGGTCCCTTAAGAAGTAGGACATGCTGCATTCAGAAATACGCAATTTAACACAAAGCAGGCCAAACACAATCTCAGAAATGTCATCTGCACTGTATGATTGCTGTATATGGGGGATCCGCTGACCTATGTTTTACCACATGCTTCATCAAACACAGGTAAACAACACCATTACAAAAGCCCTTAGGTCCCATTTATAGCTACGTGTTTTGTAGTTGACATTTCAGCGCTCAGGCCCCTGTAGCTCGACTCCTGAAGCTCAAAAATGTACTTTTACCACCCCTTACACAAGGTTGTGACAAAGGTGTCACTTTTCCAGCTCCACTCACCTAACATTTATCCTTTCTAAATTACGTAACATCCATTGAGTTAGCATTGCATAATCATTTATCTTTGTCATTGTCAGTTTTTACAATCTATCTACAAGCTATCCAAAAATGAGAGACATTGATCCTTTTTCCCAAAATTGATTAGCTGGATTTGGGTAATACCTAGTAAAACAGTACATAAAGTTCCACCATACTATTTTAAATATTGATATACCTTTTATCAGATTTTTATCACGCATTAGGCTTAATCTACTAAAATGAGATTTTTTTAACACCGCTATTTATGTTTCTTGTGGGTTTTTTTTTTTCATGCAATATGTTCAATTCTAAAACATGAACGTGATTCATTCTTATTTTCCCTTATGAAATTAACATTCACAGTGCATCTAAACCTAAGCACAAAATTGCAGTATTGCATCTTACCAGTGCTTAGATGTGATAGTTGCACTAGTTTTTTTTTCCCCCCCCCTATATTTTTACCTGGTGATTTTGCCTTATTTTCTAATAAGTCATTATTTAATCTCAAAAATTGTTATGTTACCACCACCTCAAACAGCTCCATTCCCTGGTCTCTTTAACAGACACCTATTCAAATGTACACTTATCACAAGCCTGAAGCTAGTGTTACTTTAAGGGGTGATAATCTGTGTAATAATCTTTGTAAATTGACTTTTACAATGTTTCATTCAAGGGCCATTAAAATACTTGTTATAATAGCACTAGTTATGCTAAATAGGGATAAACTCGGAAGTTAGAGTGCATGATAATCAACTCCAGTCGCGGCATTACCTGCAGCTACACAACAAAGGGGCAGAATGCTGGAGACATTCTTGACCTTTTATGGCCACATGGCCATTTTTGGACAATGTCATATAAGGTCAATTATGTCACCAGCGTCCCGCCCCTTTGTGGCTGCAGGGCGGGCGATGCCCCAGCTGCAGCTCATTGGGTACTGACACTTAACTTCCAAGTTCCTGAGCGCATTCCTAGTGCTATACTAGGCTAAAAAAAGTGTTACTTACCTTTCTGCATTGAGATCTAAAGCTGTATTCACACTTGTCCGCTCTGGTGTTTTGCGTTATTGCGCACGTGTTATGCCATGTGTTAATGTGTGTTGCAGTAAGGCAGCCCATACTAATAGGCTGCCAATGTACCAGAACAGACTTAAAGATAGGCATGCACCATTTTGAGGGACACAGCGCACCGCAGTACACAGCTGTGAATTTACCTTGCATTGCAATGCATATATGTTCTCTTAGTGTGTTGAGATGTCTCTAAAAAAAAAGAATGGCACCATAATGCACTAACGTGTCTATAGTGTGGTAACGTGCGCTGCAGAAACTCACCTGACAAGGTTCAGTAAATGGGTGAGGAGGAGAAAGACAGTTTTGTGAACTGAGGACTTTATACCCAGTTAAATGCATAGCCTTCATTCACATGTTGTGACTTAATATGAACCTTTTTGACATCTTTATCTTGTACCCATTCACAGCCCATTGTGAATCAGTCAGTTGTCATTAACAAAACCCGAATTGTCTAATTCAAAGCTGTGTTTTTAAAAACCCATGTCTTTCTTAACAAGCACACAGTGTAAATGGGATTAGGCCTAATCTCCTTGTGACCCACCCACAATTTTTGTGCTGAAAAATGTTACTCATATAGATCCTCAGATTCCAAATAGGATTAAAAACTCAATTATACAATGATCATATTTCTCCTTCTGTTTCAATGTAGTTATTTAGAATGAGAAAAACAATACTTTCTGTATATTAAAAGAAGAGATTTATAGATTAATAAAAGTGCTTTGAACAATTGGTTTAAAGTTTAGTTATTTTACAAGGAAAAAAGTGAAATGCTTACGTACACTGTACATTGGAGGATGCTTAAATCACAACAATGGAAACATTTAAACATACAATGACAAATCAATGAAATGTAGAAATTTACTCTTTGTTGTCTTTTGATTCATTGGCATTGTCCTTTTGGTCTGTTCCCTGTGGAGCTGAGAGCTGGATGGGCACAGTCCTCTCCTCTACAGCTCGCATGGTTTTCCAAGGGGCTTCTATCCGCAGCTGACCTTCAGTGGTCAATGTGCAGCTGATGTCTTCTGCCTTTACTTCCTGAGGAAGATCTGTTTCCTTCCTGAAGATCTGACACTTGTAGGAGTAAGACCCTTTCCCATCCTGGTTCTTTGTCTCCTTGGCTCCAGTCACCAGTAGCTTCCTTCCCAAAACCTTGACTGTCAATTCTTCAGGACAGAAGTCCTGAACTCCCAGACATAGCACAAATCCACCTTCTGTAGACTTGATGTCACTACTCACCACCATTGGTAGAATCTTATTCTCTTCAATATTCATCTCCTGCATCAGCTGTTGGTGGAACTGCTCTACCCTGCTGATATTAGCTTTTATCTCTTCCACTGTCTGAATCATGTCCTGCTCCATTCTAGAGAAGACATCCACAGACGTTGGCCACAGAGGCTGCAGGAAGGGTTTCCAGGATGCTGCATTGCTCTGGAGCTGAAGGCACAGCATTGTCTGGCCACAAAGATCTCTGTTGCAGCAATAATATGAATACCGCGTTCAGTCTGTTCTATAAAGGTTGTACACAACTAGTGCTTTTATACTCCAATGAAATCTTCCAAACATGTCTTGCATTCCTAGCCCCTCACATGTCACATTATTGGTAAATATTACTCTACATAACAACATGACTCAGTTCGTCTTCATTCACGACTCACACACTAAAATAACATGTTTGACGCAATCCTGACAGTTTTAAGTTTCATGGCCTGTACTGTTCAACAATGCAGACGGATTCCTGTAGCATTGCCTCACTGTCTTTTATAACTACTGTACATCTAAAGTTGAACAGTCCTTTCAACTTCTGAGTGGGCTTAAGCTGAAGATAAATCTTTCACAAATAACATAAATGTTGTAGGCGTGGGGACTCCATAACAGTACTTTCAACAGAGTTTTTGCTTTGATTTTGTTTGTGTTGCATTATTTGGGCAGTCAACAGTGCCTATAGGATTATGTGCAGACATGCTGTGTGTATTCAGTGATTTTAGTAGCTATTCACTTTTAAATGATATCTAATAATACTAGAGATCTCCTTTAAAGTGGAGCTACAATTTCTGCCATCTTAGCCTCTATTTGGATTCCAATTGGCATGCTGCTGCACATGTGATCAGCTATGACACCAGGCATTTGAGGGCTGGAAAGTTCTGTAGAGAGCTGAAATAAGCACACTGGCAACCTTGCACAATTGGCATGCCTTGAAAGTAACTGTTTTGGGAGACCATTAAATTGTTGGGTCTAGTTCCACTTTACCCATAGGCCAGTTCATAATCAGATGCGTCCCGAGGCAGGGTGACACCCCGTGACGTCATCACGTGCGGTACCGTTGTTACCTGCCAGCGCCCATCTTGGTGATGGACGCCGGCAGAGAGAGCAGGGGACGTCACCTGCTGGAATAAGGTATGCCGCCGGGTCCCCTCCTCTCTCTCTAGCAACTGTCGGGCTCTCGGTCCTTGACCGAGTGCCTGACTTTTCAGAGGGGGGGGTGACACTAAAATGTCAGTCATTTTGGTGTCACCCCTCCAATGGTGTCACTCGTGTGCGAGCCGCAACCCCCTTGTGACGACACTGTTCATAATAATTTTAGTATGTGTCATGGAGCTTTTAACTTTGACCATGTATAAAGTTGCATCAATGTGTATGTGTTTGTAGTCTGTATGTGCTAAAAGTAGAACTATAAAGAATGTTCCTGCATCAAAAACATTTAACTAATACAGTGCAGATACAGTAACTAATCTCCTACTATAACTGATATCTTAAGAACAGGGATGACATTACTTATCTGGAAAAGTGGGGGTCACAATGATAACCTATTGCAGATATTAGGTTTCTTATGGATTTTAGAGATTTAACCTCCTAATTCAGTGATGCACACCACAGCCATCTCAGTGGCATTGGAATTGCACTAACTGGATTGCAGTAGACCCCAGGATATGAGCACAAAAATGTGAAGTTACATATCTTTATATTCCTCTTGGGTATATTCTTTAAATAATCGTTACATTATTTTACAACAGTGTATAACAAACTGAACAGTGGTGTAACAATCGCCATAGCGACCCAGGTGGCCACTATGGATCCCGGGGCACAGGGGGGCCCGGCCAGGACATCCCCCGATGCCATGCGGGCCACCTGGGTCGCTATGGCATCTCATGCTGCTGGCTGTCACTGGCGGCTGTGAAGAGGAACATGCCGCTGTTCAGATCACTGTTGGTGATCTGTGCAGCAACGCGTTCCTCTCCACAGCCGCTGCTGAGTGAGTGACAGCCAGCAGCAGCGGAGGAGGAGGCGGGGCCCGGTGATGGAGGAGGCGGGGCCCACCAGCAACTGTGAAGGAGGCGGACAGCGGATCGGGGCTGACAGTTAAGTTGTGTGACCATCCCACCTGAGACCCTGCAGAGCACACCATAGATAGTCTATGATGGGCTCTGCAGGGTCACTCTTAGGTGGGCTGTGTGGAATCTCACAAAATTTTGCGATGGGGCCCTGTGATTTTTAGTTACGCCTCTGAAACTGAATGTGGGGTTGTATTAGCAGCGTGGAGAAAACCAAAAGGAACCAAAGGGAAAGGATGGTCATGTGAAACTAGCACACTGGTTCCAGCCCCATGGTCACTGTGTCAGGTCCTAAACCCTATAGAGTACTCCTATTGAATGTTTGTAAAATGTACCACATTGGACTTTCTCATAAACACTATGACGAGGTGTGTTTGTGATAATTGAGCCAAAATGATTCTAATACACATTAAAATATATGGAAATAGAGGCTGTATGAAGAAACCCTTAGAGAGACCCTGTCAGGTCTCTAAGGATATCAAACCAGCAGTCCCCAGCAATAGAAGAGAGATTATAGTCACCTCTGTAGCGGCATATGTCTCCTTCCTGCCCTCCATTTGAGTGATGCAGTCTCCCTCACTGTCCTCAACATTCAACACTTCTGGAAGCGTCTCATGTCTGTATCCCCCCACCACCAAGGGGAGGTAGGAGACATGGGCCCCTGGCGAGGTTAGTATAGTATCTCTTCTATTGTATGGGAGTCCCGGTTTAAATTAATTTGAGACCTGACAGGTTCTTTTTTTTTTTTGTATATAAACAATTTACAGCTATAGATACACTATCAAGTAGTCACAATTAAAGACCAGCGGAGCCTATTAATGTACAAATAATTTTCCTTTATTGATTTCACTATCATAAATCCTTGTTTGTCAGTATAGAATCCAGCACCGCATTTAGACACCCCAAAGTTAAAAACAAGTTGACAACATTGTCAGCCATGCATAAACCACTGATACACCATCCACACACACTCCACTCATTCAATACCTTCATAAATAGCATGGATATAATATGCCTGCAATGCAATTATAGGGGCCGCTTTCACACATAGCAGGGCTGGAATAAATATACCATCTGTGAATCCTCCCATGACTAAAAATCTGCATAAAGGCGGTGAGCATTAATTAAATAACCCATCAGTCTGCTTCACATCAGTAAAGTTGCCTCTATATTGAAGTTTACGCCGCAGATGATGCAATAAACTTCTTGAAAAGCTACATTTGGATAACAATTCTTTTTACCGCTAGTTAACAATTAATGCAGAAAAAGTTGGACCCCTCTAAGTAGGATGATTAAATATCTGGTAGTTTTCTCTGAAACATTTTAGACCACCTATATAAGATATATAATGAATTTTATTATGATAACAAAAATAACATAATCTATAGTAAATAACCAACACAAACATCAAAACGATAAGAAAACCCCCCAACTGCTGCATATAAAAACATCAACTCATTAAAATCTCCTCAAAACACCTGGGGGAGAAAGAGAGTCAGGCTGTGCGGGATATATTCTATCATTGTATAATGGTGAAGTACTATAAATATTTTGATGTATATCCGTAATATATACAGTATCTGATGCTTCTATCCAACAAGACAAATCTGTTGTTTGCATTAGTGATGGGCCAAACACACCCGAGTTCAGTTCAAGTTTGAACTTTAGAACATGAAAAAAGTTCAAACTTGAATGTCAAAGTCAATGAAAGTCCCAGAACTCAGAAAATTAAATGTCCTCTTTTTGAAGGCTTATATGCAAGTTATTGGCCATAAAAAGGATAAGGGGATTACGGTACTGCCCAGGAAATATGAATCAATGAAAAAAAAACACTTTTTAAAAATACAGTTTTTAAAGGAGCAGTGATTTTCACATCGCTTAAAGTGAAACAATAAAAATGAAAAATTCCTTTAGACATCGTGTCTTGGGGGTCCCCATTCTTCCCTGCCATAACAGGCCACATGCCCTCAGCACTGGGAGGGTGCTTTTCCAGGGTCGCCCCTGGGAAAGCACCTTGTCCCCGTGTCGATAGGGCCAAGGGCCTCTTCCCCACAAGCCCTGGGGTGTTGGTTGTGGGTGTGCGGGCAGGACGGGCTTATTCACATCAGGGTACCCCTTTAATAAAGGGGCACCCAGATGCGACTCCCCCTTCTGAATGAGTAAGGGATACTTGTACCCCTACCCATTCACTAAAGGGTTAAAATTAATTTAAATCTTTTAATTGAAATAAAAACACAACAAAGGCTTTTGACAAGTCATTTGTTGTTAAGAATAAATAAATGGATCCACCAACGTAATCCTAGGGTCAATCACGACGTCCAGCGCTGCCCACATCGACGACGACGACTCGTCCAAATAAAAAAAATATATAGAAATAATAATTTTAAAAAACAATGGTTTGGTCAGAGTCAGTAAAATGTCGTCAGCAAAAAGGGACAGCTTAAATGGTTGGCCACCAAAGCATACGTGATGTCTGGAGAGTACCTGATATGGGCACCTAAAGGTACGATACATAGAACGAAGAGAAGCCCACTTGATCCGCATGAATCAATGGGGGAAGTAGCAAGCCAAGGTGAAGGGTCAAGATTGGTCGATAATTAGAACAAAGCTTATGGTCTTGTCGGGCTTGGGAAGGACTGTTATATGGGAAGCAAGCATAGAAGAAGGGACGATTGCAACAAATCAATGTAAAGCTCGGTTAGATGGGCATGAGAACGGATTGAAAAGTTTTTTAATATAGCTATGGAAGCCATTCTGGACGAGGGGCCTTGTGGTCGGGCAAAGTTTTTATACTATGGGTCACTTCCTCCGTAGTAATTGGGTCATTAAGTAATGTCAAATCATACTGAGAAACACTAGGGAGAGGACATTCAGAAAGGTAATCCCGAATTCGATCAGGTAGAGTGTGGCCATGGTTTTGGAAGGCAGAATCCTGTAAATTATAAAGGTATGTATAATATTCACGGAAAATAGATCCTATCTTGTCAGGATGAAAATGTTCAACACCGGCGCCAACTCGTATAGAATGTACAGAAGTAAGAGCTTTGGTATCTTTAAATTTACGGGCTAATAAGGTATGAGCCTTATTACCTTTCTCATAATCTGAACATGATTAGATTTGGGAAGATAGAGCTGCCAAAATCTCAATCTCAGATATGTG